TGTTGGTTGTGGGGCAATGGTTTTAGCTATTTAATGTTTGTTGTTGGAAATGTTTGTCCAGACCAGAGACTTACCTGCATTGAGGTACTGCCTTGTCCTGCAGTGTTCTCTTCAGGGAGTCTTGGCCAACAGCCCCTGTCAGTTTGCCTGTGGTGCACAGGGGCAGAGCCAGGCTGGGGTGGAGGTAAAAAATTATCTGCTTGACTCAGGCAGGAAAAAACCATCATGAAAAGGACCCCAAATGCTCGAACGGTTCCTTGGCGGATTAGAGGGTTTCTGAGCAAAGAGGCTCCTACTGCTTTTCTTTCCATGGGATGCATTAAACCAGGACTTGTCTGCATGGTACAAAAGCTGCATGCTGATTTGTCATCTTTTTCTTTCTCCAAAAGGAACTCGACAGCAATCCTTTTCACAGGTGACAATCAATCCCACAAATGTCCTTTCTCAGGTGTCTGACATGTGACTCTGGGAACATGTTTGGAGATATTGTGATGCTTAACTAGAGGACTCCTTCAGGGCAAGCTGTCCATAGCTGTAAAGTCCATATCAAAGCCTTGAAATTGAATGCTAAGAACAGTGACTACTTTTGACCTTGATTATATATCAGTAATGAAACAGTAACCTACATTTTCATGTTATTGGCTTGGTGCTCACAAAAATAGTTTTGGAAATTATGAGTGTGTGTATGTGTATGTATGCATGAATTGCCTTCAGTAAATACATCAGTATGTGATCCTGGGCACATGTACAGGCTGGGCAGGGAATGAATCAAGAACAGCCCTGGGGAGAAGAACTTGTGGATGCTGGTGGGTGAGGCTGGAAAACCCCCTGTGTGCAGGGCTGATCCCCCAGTGTGGACAGCAGGGGAGGGGGGTATTCTGCCTTTCTGCCCCCTCAGGTGAGTTCCTCCTGCAAAGTTGCCTCCAGCCCTGGGGGCCCAGCACAGGAAGGATGTGGAGCTGCTGGAGCGAGTCTTGAGGAGGCCACAAAGATGTTTAGAGAACTGGAGGCCCTCTGCTCTGCAGCCAGGCTGAGAGAGCTGAGAGTGCTCAGCCTGGGGAAGTGAAGTCTCCAGGGAGACCTCAGAGCCCCTTTCAGTGCCTAAAGAGGCTCCAAGAGAGCTGGAGAGGGACTTTGGACAAGGGCCAGGAGTGACAGAACAAGGGAGAATGGCTTCCAACGGAAAGAGTGTAAGTTTAGATTGGATATTGGGAAGAAATTCTACCCTGTGAGAGTGGTGTACCGGGATGCTCTGCCTTGAGCCTAAAATACAGTGTCTGTGATGAGTTACTGCTTTTAGTGTTGAATGGTGTTAAAACCAGCCTGGTTCACCAGACTGCAAACAACCCCCCTGCTTTTTGAAGCAAGATTTAACAGATAAGCTACTGACTGGCCTGGGAATATGTGACTGGCAGTCAATCACTTTATAACTATAAAAGCCCAGTCCAACTTTCATATGGCAGATTCTTCCATATACTTTTTTGAGTGTGTGGAGCTTCTCCTGTGAAGCAGAGATACCTCTTCGTGGTTAAGTGAAAGACAGAGATCTGCCCACGATTGTTGTGTGGTGAGTTACATCAATCTCTACTTACTGATTATTTCTTTTTGCCAGCTTTGATACTATTGCTTTAATACAATTGCTTTGGTACAGTGCACTATATCACTTTATGCTATACTATACTCTACTAGTAGTTTTTTGCTTTTATACTGTGTAGTAAATAATTCTGACTAAGATATTTTATCTGTTCATTTGTCATAATAAATAATTCATTTTACATAAATATATCTGATTTGCCATCATTAAGACCTGTGGGACAAAAGTGGTTTAATTTTGACTCTATAATTCCTTAAATTTAAACTGTGGACAAAATCTGAGGCTGAGATTGGATCCAGACACACCGAGGCTCCTCTCTGAGAAGGAGTTTGGAAAGCAAAGGGGTCCTTTCTGCACCTCATAGCTCAACAAGAGGGCTTCTCTAAAAAACTTTGTCTAAACCTTCCACTACCCTGGGACAGGTGGAGAGGCCCTGGCATAGGTTGCCCAGAAAAGTTGTGGATGCCCCATCCCTGGAAGTCTCCAAGTCCAGGTTGGACGGAGCTTGGAGCAACCTGGGCTGGTGGAAGGTGTCCCTGCCCATGGCGGGGGTGGAATGAGATGACCTTCAAAGGCCCCTTCCAATCCAAACCATTCTGTGATTCTAGTAATTCACACATCTGTCTTAAAACCTTGGAAAACCTATGAGGAATTTAGTATTTCCATCTTCAATCCTAGTTTGAATAATACTCATTAAGTAGAAACTAAAGGGGAAAAATTACTGAATAGCTCTCAGTCACTGAATGCTCTCTTTCATGTGTCAAACTAAGAATCAGAACTGTGGAAAACAACTAGAAGTTATATAAACTAATACATAATCAGAAGTGACTGTCAATTGAACACTAGTCATAATTCTCTCTGTTACTCACCACTCCACGCTTAGAAAGCTTAATAACTTTTTTTTTTTAAATAGGAAACAGGAGGGTGATGAATGACCGACAAATTATTTGGAATGATGGTCAGTTCTGAGACCTGCAATACTCTTTAGTCCATCATGGGTCATCTACTGCCACCACCTGCGACTCCTAGAACGCTTCCATCAACGCTGCCTCTGAACAATCCTAAACATCCCCTGGTTAGATTATGTGACTAATACATCTGTTCTAGAACAAGCAGCAGTCACAAGCATTGAGGTCATGTTGCTGAGAACACAGCTGCGCTGGGCAGGGCACGTCTCCAGGATGAAGGACCACCGCCTCCCGAAGGTCCTGCTTTATGGTAAACTTGCCACTGGCTGCCGCATGAGAGGAGCCCCGAAGAGGAGATACAAGAACTCCCTGAAACAACATCTCAGCCTTGGCCATATTGATCAACATAACTGGTCTACTCTGGCCTCAAATCGGGAGGCCTGGAGACATACCATCTATAAGGCTGCTGCTTCCTTTGAGAACGCACACAGGATCACCCTTGAGGAGAAAAGACAATGCAGAAAGAATCGTGTCTTGCTGGATATACCACCTAAGGAGTCTTTCTGCTGTGCCTTTTGCAATCGGATATGTCTATCTCGTATTGGCCTCATAAGCCACCAGCGTGCTTGTAACAAACGTGGATAGAGCCTTCCTAAATCTTCGTTCGCAAAGCCTAGCCATGAAATGAAGAAGGATGAAAAGTTCACTAAGTGCAATGGCTTTAATGTTGGTCTGAGACAGTGGTGTCTCAATGGCAAATGCAGATGTGTTGTGGGCTAGATCACTTCTCTCAGAAAAAGCCAAATGAAGACACTACAAACATATGTCTACTGTGAGGAAAGTTGTGTTGTTTAACATAGCCTTCAGCTCTGGACTTCAGCTCCTGTGTCTTTGGACACAGCAGAGAGCGCCATAGCCTCATTGTCCAGTTAACACTAAGGAATGAAAGGAAGAGATGCAGAAGAAAGTTTTAGGGTATGGCCCAACTCAAAAGGAAGATAATTGAATATTCTTGGTGCTTGTGAACTCTGACAAGTCATCAGGTTTATCAACTAATCAAACAAAGAGAGGGACAGGCCCATGTCACAGCAGTGAATTGCCAGCCCTTCAGTAATGCAGTCATCCTTTGCCAGATTAGCATTTTCTTTGGTATTCTACAGAGACTATTTTGACATTTTTCATTGTAGACAACTGATTTTATTTTCGAAGGCATAGCTGTGGATCTGCAACAGGAGTACTTGATTTGGTTTCTTCAAGTATCTTATTTCCAAGTGGAATATGAAAAAATCTTGAGAAGGTCTCACTGGTTCAAATATCTTCAGACTGGGGAAGGACAAGTCCTCTACATATTAGATTATGACAGAGAAAGTGACACCTATTTCTCCTTGTTTTTAAGAGGTGACCATGGATTTCTCTGATTGGTAATGATATTTGTTGTAGGGATAGGTACAATTTTGGAAGAATTCATGATGGAAAGCTAGAACTCAATTTCTCTCAGGAAGACTGTAAAATGCCTTCTCTAATGGGTTAAATGGTTTTTTTTCTTCTTTCTGTATTTCAGAGAAAGTCACAGGGAGAAGCTGTAAGGTATGTCCCTGGTATGCAGGGAGATAACATGTTTGCAGACACGTACAAGGCGTCGTCAAGCCAGAGAGTGTGGGGGAGGAGAGAGAGAAGAAACAAAAAGAAGGTGGGGCATTGCTTTTTTCCTCTGGGGGCCCGGTGCATGCAGCATGTTAAGAAAGGGTCCTTGCATCTGAAATAAACCTTTTTTTAAATTGTTCCACTGCCTTGACTTTTTTGGGAAGAATACCTGCATATGTTTTACTTTATATTGTAAAGAATGAAAACACATGTTTTGAGTGATGCCAGGCTGGGCAAAGTTATCTGGATTACCCTGTAGACTACATAGGAGGTAAGTGTCTGCCTGGCCAAGTTAGAAGATTCAGAAGAGTTTTGGGAACAGAATATAGACAAGGAATGACTGACTATATAAGGTTGCTGGTGTGCTGCCCTGGGAATGTTGGTTTGCACATCACTTTCATGAACAAAAGATGAAAGTAGGCCTCATTTTAGGTTTAAATGTACTCTAAACTATGTTCCAAAGTGGCTTGAAGGATTGAAAAAGCAAAAGTTGGATGCAATAAATTCTTATTCTTTGGACAGAGCAATCGAGTTAATATCTATTGTATTCCTAAAGCAACTGTTATAAGGGATTATTATATTCTCTTGCAAAGAAATAATGACTTGCCACATTAGAAAGTATTAGATTAAATTCTATGGTGAGAACAAAGCAGGATGTCAGATTAGACCACTTTGACAGTGGCTGAAACACTTTGAAAATACCTGAAGCAAGATTTTTAATTGAATAAATAAGTTTAAATAAGTAAGGAAAAATGTAAATATAGAATAAGAATAAGAAATAAGAATAAGAATTAAGAAATAAGAATAAAAAATAAGAATTCGGGGTAATGATTAAAATACAACACTTCTCATTATTTAAATGGGAAAAGCTCTACAATTTTTATTTTCTAGGCATTATTTATCTAGATATTGATGAAGGACTAAGCAGTGATTACAAAATAAAAGTGATAGAATGTCACATTTTTGCAATTCTCTCACTTTACAGCACTGGCGTCATTTACTCTTCACTTTCTGCCCTCTTGCCAATTTCCCGGCTCTTCACTCGGAGCTTGTTGACCTGGGACTCTGCAATGTCAGCCCGTTCCTCGGCTTCCTCCAGCTCATGCTGGATCTTGCGGAACTTGGAGAGGTTGACATTGGAGAGCTCCTCCTGGAGATATGAAGAAACATAAAATAGGCTTTAAAACATTTAATGATAGTCCTACTGTAACACTGCCCTTAACATGCTGTGGCATTTTCCTTTTTAATAATGAAAAATACCCCTAGGACTATGAGTTAGTATGTAATTCTCTCTAATACTTCTAGAGAAATCCAAGGAAATAGCTTAAATGCTAAATGTTTAGATGGTTAGTAAGACATACCAAGAACCTAGCTCTAAATATGAAGTGCTAGTGCACTATGGAATTTTTGAATTATTATATATAATTGCAGTTATTTCCATTAAATCATTTTCCAGTTATTTACTGCTATAAAATTATATATTACAATTTTTGAAGGTGATTTGTTTTCTGCTAGGCAGAAATATGAAATAAAGAAAATGAAAGGAAGCAGAGCCCTACTCCCACAATGTTGAACATGGTTTAAACAGAAGGGAAAACAACAACACAGAATTCCACATCCACCTAGAAAAAGACTGACTTCACACATCAATACTCACAGCCTCTTCAGCTTGTCTCTTGTAGGCTTTCACCTTCATTTGCAGCTTGTCCACCAGATCCTGCAGCCTGAGAACATTCTTCCGGTCTTCCTCAGACTACAGAGAATGGCAAGTAACAGAAAACCTTGTTTACATCATTCTCTCAATTTCATAAATGTGAAACAGAGGGAATAATATAGTTTATGGAACACTGCAGTCCAGAAGGACAGGTGTCAAAATCCAGATAACTCCGTCATTGTCTGAGGTATAGAAAGAAATCCCTCTGGAAGGCAATGTTCCAACGTTTTGAGACACTATTCTACCAGGAAGGCAATGCAAAGAAGCCTCCAGCCTTACCTGGTAGGTGAGTTCCTTCACCCTCCTCTCGTACTTGCGCACACCCTTCACGGCTTCAGCGCTGCGCTTCTGCTCAGCATCAACCTCCCCTTCCAGCTCCCGCACCTGCAATGAGAAGCCCGTCCCTGCAGCTTCCCTGGGGGTGTCTCCCCAAGAGACGAGGTCACTCATGCACCAACACAGCCCTGCTCACCCTGGCCTCCAGCTTCTGGATTTGCTTCTTGCCTCCCTTCAGAGCCAACTGCTCGGCCTCATCCAGACGGTGCTGCAGGTCCTTCACTGTCTGGTCCAGGTTCTTCTTCATCCTCTCCAGGTGGGCACTGGTGTCCTGCTCCTTCTTCAGCTCTTCTGCCATCATGGCCGCCTGAGCAGAGCAAAAGGTCAAAGCCCTTGTGGGGCTGGAGACATTTTGGGGAGAATACATCGCCATCAGCAATGAAAGGAGCCCCGACTCACATCTGTGATGGCCTTCTTGGCCTTCTCTTCAGCATTGCGGGCCTCCTGGATCGTATCCTCCATTTCGCTCTGAATCTGAGAAATGTCTGTCTCCAGCTTCTTCTTGGTGTTGATCAAGCTGGTGTTCTGTTGAGCAGCATCAGAGATTTATTTTGTTAGCTCATTATTTGAAATCAAGAACATTACAGGATTTTGAATACTTTCAGACATAATTATATGAAAAATTGATATCAGAGATTTTTCTAGTAAAATTTCTTATCACTAGGGTACAAGGATTTTTTTGTTTTGTTTTTTTTTTCCTCCAAGAATTAATTTTATTAATTTGAAAAAGTGTTTAGAAATACAATATATGCCACATCTCAGCTACTGAGGCTAGCTCAGGAAAGTAAGAAAAATAGATTGAGACAAGTCAGTGAAATGCCTTCTCTTCAATGTTAGGGAAGTGTACTCTACCCTTAACAACTGAAAAGAGAAAAATTTGGAATGAAGATAGGATGGATCCCTTCCAGAATTTTCTCAGCAGTTGAAACCAGACACTTTCCATAGAGTTCAGCACTTGACCACTCGATGACTGTTATGACATGTAGCTCATGTCAAAGCCTGCTCGATATGGGCTACATTAGCGACAGGAGTTCATCCCCACTCTCTTGCTAGTGAAAAAATACATTTTGGATGTAATATGAGGATTCCTCAGTGCTACATTTCAACTGAAAAGGAATGAATGGTGCTGTGGTCTCTGAATTTCCTGACTGTTTGGAGCATTTGGAATGTCCCTGTGACTAAAGTGTCTCCCCTGGAGATTATCTGAGCACGCAAGTAAGGTAGAAGCATGGGAGCCATCGTATGCAGTTTGGGAAAAAAATCAGTGCACACATTTTTCCAGCAAAGATCTCTTTCAGTAACTTAATGAATACTTCAGAAAACAGGATTCTCTTTCTCGAAGTTGAGCCTCCAGTGGTGACTGGAATAAAGCACACAAGTGTTCTCCCACTTACCAAGAATGCCATTTTTCACCAAAGGACCTCACCTGGGTATGGAGGAGCTGCACACGTTCAGTGGCATCCATCAGTTCCTGCTCAGCCACTTTCCTCGACCGCTCCGTCTGCTCCAGGGCTGCCCGTAGCTCCTCAACTTCAGCCTGCAGCAGGTTTGCTCTGCGCTCCACCATGGCCACCTGCTCCTTCAGGTCATCCTGGGTCCTGAGAGCGTCGTCCAAATGGATCTGCGTGTCCTGTAGAACCATTGAAAGAAATTATAAGCAGATTTAGAGGTGTTGGGGACTGAAATGATCAACCACAATGTTTCTCCCTAGGCAATTTCTGTTTAACAGACCTTGAGCACAGCCTGCGTGTTTCTCAGGTTCTTTTGTGCCTCAGCAGCCTGGCGGTTGGCATGGCTAAGCTGGATCTCTATTTCATTCAGGTCTCCCTCCATCTTCTTCTTTAGCCTCAGGGCTTCATTCCTGCTCCTGATCTCAGCATCCAGGGTGCTTTGCATGGACTCCACGACTCGGAGGTGGTTTCTCTTCAGCTGGTCGATCTCCTCATCTTTCTCTGCTATCTTCCTGTCAATCTCAGACTTCACCTGGTTGAGCTCCAGCTGCAGGCGCAGGATCTTCCCCTCTTCATGTTCCAGGGAGGCCTGGACAAAAATAAATCAGAATACTTTTCTTGTGACAAATGTTGAACCTGAAGTTTTGAGTAAAAAAAAATGCCGTGATTAGATAATATCTCTACTTTTATACAACCTCTTTTCCTCTTTTGTCTGGAAAGAGATAAACGAGATAGAAATCCAAGACACGTAAGAGAGCAATAAATAATGCTGTGTACCTCAGCTTCCTCCAGCTCGTGCTGGATCTTGCGGAACTT